TGAAATTAGAATTAGGATTGGAACTTAAAATATATATTATCTTTCAGGCAAATTAATGAATTTAATATATATTATGATTCATAAGAAAATAAATATTGTATGTTTCCAAAAAGTAAATGGGTTGGAGAGGAGGCTAAGAAGATTGATAGTTATAATTTAAATTATAGTACCCATGTAGAAGTCATACTAGAAATATTGTAGTTGTAAATATAGATAAGAGTTTGAAAGATAATATTATAGAAATTAATAAAATTGGAGATATAATTATAGTTTTAAAGATTGTTGTTGATACTAAAATTATTAATATTATAAGTGTTTATGCTCCTCAAGTAGGTTTGGATATGTGTTTTAAATTAAAATTTTGGATTGACTTACTAGAAGTCTAGAATTAATACAATGGATTCCTCTTGAAAGAGTTTTTATTAGAGGATATTTAAATGGACATACTGGTAGAGTGGTAGAAGATTTTAATAGAATTAATGATGATTATGACTTATGAGTTTGGAGCGGCTAATGAAGGTTGTTAAATCATATTAGATTTTGCTCTAATTTATGATTTTAAATTGCTAATATTTTATTTAAGAAAAGAGAGAAGCAACTCATTTCTTCTGAGAATGATTATAAGAAATTTAGATTGATTATTTTCTTATAAAAAAATAGATTGTTTAGATTATAAATACTATAAAGTTATTCAGAGTGAAAGTTTATGTACCAAATATTGATTATTAGTTTTTTAATTTAAGATGAATGAGCTGAATATGAAAAATAAAGTAAAATATTATTCTAGGATTATATGGAGGCATTTAAAGAATGCTAACAAAAATATTTTTTTGAGTAAGTTTCAATATCTCAAGATTTTGATTGTGCATGAGGAAGTTAATATTACGTGGAAAAAAGTAGTTAGTGATATTAATAATATCGCAAAGTATGTGCTTGGAGTATCAAAGGAAAAAGCTCATAATAGTAAAAATAGTTTGTGGTGGAATCAAAATGTGCAATAAAGATAAAAAATAAAAAGCGTGGTTATAAAATTGGTTTAGATGTAAAAATTGAAAAAATTGGTAAAAATATAGAGGGGCTTGTAAGGAGTTTAAGAAAATAATATACGATGCAAATAATGTAGTTTTTAATGATTTATATAATCGATTAGATACTAAGGAAGGAGAAATATGTATGTATAAGCTAGCCAAGAAAGTGGTGAGAGAAGTAAGGATCTAGTTCAAGTGAAGTGCATTAATGATGAAGATCAAAAATTATTTTTATTAGAATAGGATATTCAACGTAGGCCCATATAACATGTCGCTTCCAGAGAACGCTCTAGCATTAACGCAATGTATTAAATGATTCATATCATGATTATTCAACAAGTTTTACATTGACCGTCGACTACCTAACGGGTGATCCTCCATTTTTTTCATCCAAGACTTAGGGATTGGACGGCACTGTTCATCATGATAACAAACACAAAAAATAAATAATCTCAAAAGTTGTTTGCCTGCGGTTTAATGCATTTAGGGGTTTTCAATTGACGCAAAGGGAGCAATTTGTAGTCTCTTTCATTCCTTTATAGCATGTGAATTTGTAGGAGGTATTTTTCCTTATAAGCAATGAAATTGTGGCCTCTAATTTTCCTTATCTAGCATTCCCGCTGGCCCCTCTTGATCTGATGGCTCTCCAACACAGATTATTGCTACTTGAATGTAAATAATATATATTTATTTATACATTTCATATATGGCTAGACTAAGAAAGCTAATTTCATGTCTGGATGCATCTAGATTTCATATTTCTCACATATGAAGATTAAGGGTTCCCATGTGTGGAGATTTTTATTTTTCCACTTTCAGACTTCGTTTGTTTTTTTTGTGCTTTTGTAAAAGACAGTTTTAAAAAACATTAGTTTAGAAAATGGAGTTTTCTAACGGAGAAGCACATATAAAAAGCTTTCTCAAAACTGCAGAAAAATGAGAAAAAGGAGTTATTGGGAACTTCATTTGACGAACCAAACAACATAAAAAAAAATCCTTCGTTTTCGAAAACGGAGAAGGCAAAAAAACGCTCAAACAAACAAAGCCTCAGACAAGCTGGTGAGTAGATACGTTCCATTTTCAGCTTGCAAGTAATCTCTTGAAACTTTGCAGTTACTAGTCCCTTGGTCATGGCATTTGCAAGTTGGTCACTTGAAGGAATTCAAGGACCTTGGTCATGGCATTTGCAAGTTTATGGGATGCTTGTCGACTCCAATGTGTTTTGTTTAGTCATGTTTTATTGAATTGTGAGCAATATTTGCATATTTGTTGTTACAATAAATTTAAATCATCCTTCACACTTGCATTTGAGCTGATCAAGTATTATTTTATAAATGTCTTGATCAGTGATGAACTCAGTTAAAACACTTTATCTTGCAATCACTATCTACTACTACTTGTTACAAGATCACCTCCAAGGAAGTTATTGTTAGCAAATGTGTAGAGGAAGCTATAGTTGCCAAATCTGTATCTTCTATTCTTGATCAATCCATCATAATCTGCATCTATCTAGGCTTCTAAACGAAGTTCTTTATTTTTTCTAAACAAAAGCTCTTTTCTTGGTATAGCTTTTTTGTAGTAAGGTTCCTATGGATAGATTGTAAGCACTTCTCCTTAAGATCATGCATGAATTTACTTACTCTATCAATAACATAGGCAATAGTTAGCCTTGTGTGAGATAAGTAAATCATCTTCCAACAGGTATGTGGTACTTTCCTGTTTCTACTGCATTATCATCCTTTTTTCCAACCAATCTTTGTTTAAGTTCAATAGGCATTCAAACTTCCTTGCTACCAAGAGTACCTGTTGTTTTCAAGAGATCCGCTGATTATTCTGTGAAGAAATAGAAACACCTTCTGCGGAACAAGTAACTTTGATCTCCAAGAAGTACTTAAGTCCAAGTTAATTGATTGAGCTATTTGATAATAAGTTTCATGAGATAATATTTTTCAATTGGATTATTTCCTATTATGAATCAACAATAAAGAAGACGGTAGGGTCCTAACAAAGAAGGTTTGATTTGAAAAAAATATGGATCAAAGAATTAAAGGATGAGAGTTGGACAAGATTAGAACCAACGATAAAAGACATAGATCCATAGAAAATAGTGTTGAATGCGATTTCCAATTAAAAAATAGAATAGTAGTAGTGCATTTAGATTCATTTGCGAGAAGGCTGCAAATCCTACTCTGACATCATGTGGTGAAAAAAGGTTTTTTACCCTTGTAATTATTATATTATGGATAGGCCCAATCACCTAATCTTTATACACTAAGGCAACAATAAAAGGGAGGATCCAAATTTTCAATCACTCCCAAGTAAATTTGAATATCCTATATTTGTAGCTACCTATTGGGAAGGAAAATATATTCTCATACAGACATTCCAGATATGGCTAGTCTAAGAAAGAAAAGCTAATTGCATATTTTTTTAATGCATTTAGATTTCGTATTTCCTATACTTGGAGATTTTAGATTTCTAACATACGGAGATTCCCCATTTCCCATAGCTGGACTCTCATGCATGTCCAACTGACTAAAGATTTTGGATAGTCTTCCCTGTTTAAGATGTGATCATTTATGCTTTATAGATGTGATGGAAATAAGAATTTTGCAGGTGAAAAAAGTTCATAGTTTAATTTGATAAGAATAAGCAATCCATCATTTGAAGGTTTCTTTCTATGTTGCTATTCTAGCTGTGCTGGTGGTACTTCTTGTCACGACCCGGCCCGGTGAGCTTGCGCAGGCGAGGCGGGAACAAAGGTCAGACGGTAGGTTAAATTATCTAATCATTAAAACTATCTCCATAATAATTGAAAGAGCCCCTAAAACATCAATTTGAAAACTCTATTAACATAAAACTCAAACAAATTCATAATTACCTTTCTTCAGGAGCTTCTCTACGACGATAAACATTTTCACCCCTTCTACTCATCTTTGATTAACTTAAGCTTACCTGTAAAATGTTAACAACTAACATTAAGCTAAAGCTCAGTAAGTAATACACAATTCTAAACTACAGTAAACCATTTTCATTGCTAAAACATTCCTCTAATCTTTCCTTAAAGTTTTCGTAAAGAAATTACAAAAGAAAACCAAAATCCTACAAAACCCTAGAAATTTCATTCTCAAATAACTTGAGATTTAGAAGGAGAAATGAAAATCTAAAATATACCTTCTTCTTCCCTTGATCTCCTCTTCGATTTGAACTAAAATTTTCCCCGGAAGATCACCGTCGGAGTGCCCTCACGAAGCCGCCCGTCGCCCCTTGCCCGACGTCCGTCCCTCTTGTTTCGTGCGGTTCACGCGTGAAATGAGAAAGAATGGGTTTCGGTTTGCCTATTAGGGGAATTGGGGTTTGCTAAAATTCAATTATGCCCTCACTTAAGAAATTTCGGTATAAGGAATAGAGAAGGGTAGTTTTGGTATTTTTAGACTTCTAAAATTAATAACTCTCTAATTAGGCAAAATTAGGTATAGGTTTTATATACCAAAACGATCAGAATTTCGCGTAGGATTTTCTAAAATTATTTCCGTTACATTCCGTTAACGTTGAAAATTCCACTAAATTCTCGTCGCGGCGCTTTGAAAAGTGTGCGAGGTCTAAAATGACATTTTTCGGGTTTTCACACTTCTAATGTTTGTGATTCATGTAGAAATATAAATATTTATTCAGCTGATGTCATGTTTTCCACTTGAAGCTCTTTATCACAGCTGGACTCTCATGCATGTCCAACTGACTAAAGTTTTTAGATATCCTTCCCTGTTTAAGATATGATCATTTATGCTTTATTGATGTGATGGAAATAAGAATTTTGCAGGTGAAAAGTTTATAGTTTAATTGGATAAGAATAAGCAATCCATCATTTGATGGTTTCTTTCTATGTTGCTATTCTAGCTGTGCTGGTATTTCTAATGTTTGTGATTCATGTAGAAATATGAATATTTATTCAGCTGATGTCATGTTTTCCAGTTGAAGCTCTTTGTCACCGCCATCCAAATGCTATTAAGGTTAATTTAGTTGGAGTGCTTAATGCTGAAATGCTTGTTTTAGAAGCCATGACATCTCTCAGGTTTGATATTTATCCTGACCTTTATGCAAGTATATCATTTTTTTTATTAAGTTTGTGGTTCTTGTGTATTTTCAGGTGCCTTGAAACTTTGTATCTGGGGAAAGGACAACTTGGTGATGGTTTCTTCCAAGCTTTGACCGATTGTCCTGCATTGAACAGTTTAAGTATTTATGATACCTCTTTTGGTAATGGCATTCAAGAGATATCTGTACACCATGATAGACTACATGAACTCAAGATTGTCAAGTGTCGTGTACTTCGTGTTGCAATTAGGTGAACAAATCAGCAAATTTTCCTGATGAACTTAATGATTCTATTATGTTGTCAGCCTTTAATGTATTTGGTTAACTCATTTTGTACAGATGCCCTCAACTTCAAACTTTGGTACTAAAGCGCACCAGCATGGCCCATGCATTGCTTAGTTGCCCCCAATTAGATGAATTGGATCTGTCCTCCTGTCACAAGCTATCTGATGCTGGAATTCGCTCAGCAGCTACATCATGTCCTTTGTTGACATCTTTGGACTTAGCTTTTTGTTCATGTACTAGTGATGAGACACTGCGTGAAATTGCTCTCGCCTGCCCTAATATTTGTGTCCTTGATGTTTCATACTGCCCAAACATCTCACTTGAGGTTTGTTTTATGAATATCTTTTTTTTTCTCCATCTCTTTGGTATGATAATTAGTGTGTAATGCTTGATTTGCTGACTTCTGTAGTCTGTTAAACTGCCTATGTTGACAAATCTGAAACTTCACAACTGTCACGGCATAACTTCTTCATCATTGTGTGCTATATCTCATAGTCGAATGCTAAAGGTTGGCCTCCCAATTTATCAAGTTTCTTTTTTATTTATTTTTTTAACATTTCCAAATTAAGCTGACCAAATCTCTTGTATCTCTTCTGTTGCTGTGTTAAATTTTAACTTTTTTGTTGTAGGCATTACAGCTTGATAACTGCAGTTTGCTAACTTCAGTCTCATTAGATCTACCACATCTACGGAGTATCAGTCTTGTCCATTGCCGCAAGTAGAATCCATCCTGCATTCCACTTTCAGAAGCATATTCTTGTTTTCTTACTGGGGGAGTATATTCAAAACTTTGGTCTTCTTTTGTAGGTTTCTTGATCTAAATTTGCGGAGTCAAGTACTGTTAGATGTGAAGGTCTCTAACTGTTCGCTGCTTCAGCGCATTAGCATAGTGTCAGATGCACTTAAGGTGATCCTCTAGTATGTTCTAGGTTTTAACTTTGCTATATGTTGAAGTTGCTTATTCAAAAATTATGAATCTTCACTATGTAGAAATTAGTGCTTCAAAAGCAGGAAAGTCTAGCCAACTTATTGCTACAATGTCACAACTTGCAAGAAGTTGACCTTAGCGATTGTGAATCTTTGACGAATTCTGTGTGTGAAATTTTTAGCGACGGCGGAAGTTGCCCTATGCTTAAAGTATTGGTCCTTGACAATTGTGAGGTTAGCAATCTGCTTAATTTGTTTTTTCTCTAGATTCAAGTCTTAATATCTTGTGTTTTTAGCAATATATGCCCAATTACCTCAATTGTTCAAATTTCTTGTAATTTCCACTAACAAAAATAAAATCAAAATGGAAATGCTTGGAAATTCTCATTCAAAACGTCCTATTTGTGGTTTCACAGTGAATTAGTTCTTGCTGCATCGTTTTTTCTTTCAGAGCTTCGTGAATGCTATGTTTTTATTTTGTTGGTTGGGGCATATTGACATTTAATGTTGAAAACAGTATGCTTTAACTACAAATCTAAATGTTTTACTGAAAGGTTACTGTTTGATGATCTCAATGGTTAGTGTAAACTGGCAGTACTTTTTTGATCTAATGGTGCACTGTTTCCGATAATTGTTAAAGCTGTCACATTGGTCTCCTCGGTTGTCACTTCGATTAAATTATAGGTCTTCCACATTTCTTTTATGATGTACACTTGAAAGGATATTTGAGCACATGGGGACTCTTGCTTTGATATTGAATATCCTGGTCCAACCAATTGGCCCTCTAAGTTTCCGGAGGCACAAGTGCATGGTGAGGTGAAATGCAGCTTCAGTGGGAAGAAACAGTTTATGCAGTTCGCCAAAGTTGTAAATCTTAGAGTGACCTATTTTATCTTAACCGGGTCTTTGTATCATTCATTTATGGCTGTTTTCTTATGACATTTCATTAGCATTCAGAACACGCATCTTAGGTTGTTGAAGTTTTTTTTTTTTTTTTACTTCTGGAAATCAGGGGCTATTGATAGTAGTATCATTTTTGTGTCCATCTGCCATAGTCATTTTACCAATGTTTCTTACAGCAGTCAGCAACCAGTTATGGTAGGCTGTCAATGTCTAGCAGAAAGGAGTATGATCTGGGCTTGCCAATCACTCAAAACTATTTGATTGGTGGCAGGGAGCATATTCATATAGTGGTAGAAATGGTAATGATGTTATCGCATACTGTAGAGAATTCCTTTATAATGTAATGGACCTCTCTTATGGCAGTTATGATTGAGTTCTTAACTAGAAGTATTCTATAACAGAACTAACATGAGATTAGGATATAGTTTTATACAACATCAACGATTAATTCATGGGTTTGCATAAAATTGATGTTTCATCTACTTCTATTTTAATGCAGATTCATTAGATAAATAATTGACAGACTAATTGTTACTCCTTCATAAGGTTAATGGAAGAAAAATAAGCTGGTTTATATGTTTGCACTGCTTGTCTGAAAAAGCTTGGATTTTTTTCCTCAGAATTATCTGTTCAAGGCGTAGTTCGTTTAATGTGATCGTAGCTACTACATAATTGATAGTATGGTTTTGACTTTGTCAAACTAATGAAGGTTTCTTTTTCAGAGCCTTACCGTGGTGAGACTCAACAGCTACTCTCTGGCTAGTATTTCTCTTGTTGGTTGCCGTGCTATGAATGTGCTCGACCTTTCATGTCCAAATCTTCTGAAGATTAATCTTGATGGTTGTGATCATCTTAAAGAAGCATCCTTATGTCCCGTAAGTGTTTCCAAGACAAACCTATGCTTATTTTCATTGATGCTGAGATCTCTGAACTCACTTAACCATCCATCCTCACTATTGCTAAAAAATTCTGTGTCGTCCCAAGATGGATGTCATTTGCAAATGCATGCTAAATTTCCAATTACTTGGTGAATTTTCAATTGGTTTCGTTGATCATTGCTATATTACTATCATGTTTTCTTTGGTGTTAGATTACACCTGACGCTTTTCTCATTGTAGTATAATGTTAGCAGCTTTTCTATGAAAATGTTGAAGGGTTCTTTCCATTTTGATATCCCCAAAGAACCACCTATGGCTTTTGTTTGGGTGGCTTTTCCTAGGTTCTGCTTATATTACTTCAAATCAACTTTATATTCGTTGGGATCTTTTTTTGGCAAACTTTGTAGATTTATTCAACTACGTATCTCACTAGGCCTTTTGTGGCTAGGATTTTTGTGGTATTGGATGATGTATCTTCTTTTCATACAGAGGTGTGGATTGGTACATCATATTGGTGTTATTAGCAGAATATTGAATTTAAAAGCGTCACTCGATAGTGCTATTTCTGTAAGATCTCTGGCTATTTTAGTCCCTAATCGCGATTAAGAAAATCACATGTTTGGTTTACTCAGATGATCAGTGGAGGTTTGTTCTCAAAATCTGGTACTAATTGATACTCTAGAAGTTGCATCCTATGTTCCTACTCAATTCCCCCTATTAGTCCTTCAGCTTCAGCATTTACATATCTTACAATTAATTTAGATATTGATTCTCATGCATTGGAAGTTCCTCTCTCATAATGATGAAAACAAAATCTTATAATTCATTTCCTCCTAATTTTGATAGGAGCATTTTGAGTTAGGATGCTCTGGTGCATTGGAGGTTTCATATTTTATTCATTAAATGGGGGCAGTAATAAGGAAAAAAATTATTGTAGCCCTCCATTTTTCACCAATTCAAGCTAGGCAGTCTAATAATGCTTGTACACATGATACCTTTATTTTTCTTTGTGTACTTTTTTGGTTTCTCTTCTTGTTAATTGCCTTTTCTATTTTCCTATCAATTGCTTATTATAAAATTATGCTTAAAGAAAAGGCAAATAAGGACTCATATGGCTTTAATTAAAACATATATTAAAATTGGCTATTCATATACATGTCATAAAACATAAATTATTATAATTAACTAAAGGTTGGACAGGAGCATATAGAGCCTACTTTATAAGTTATAACCTATTGGAAATCACTAGTTGGCATGCAAGATGGCACCCGTTTTCACTAGCATTCAAATTTTAACTTATGATAAAAATCTTATAAGAGTCATAAAGTTGTCAAGGATCAAAATCATCAAAATCAATATATTTGATATTTGACTAGTGGTGTAAACGAGTCGAATCGAGCTCAAGTACTACCTAACTTAACCTCGGCTTGTCAGCCAAATCATGAGCTCGAACTTGAGTCAAGTTCAAAGGGTGAGATCGAGCTCGGCTTGTGGCAATAAAGGCATGTTCGTGAGCTAGCTCATGTGATCGAGGCAAAACACAATGGAAGAAGGCGTCGACGTGATCATCGCTAGAAGGCGTCGACGTGATCACTATAGGAGAAGAAGGCATGAGGTATTGCAACTTTTTTTTTCTAGGAACATGGGTTGTGGCATTATTAATTAATATATGAAGACAACCTTAATTTTTTTGGAAACCTAGGCCGCAGCCTCATTATTTTTTCCATTTATGAATAAATTTGTAGCTTTATTATAGAAATAAGTACTTATAGTTTTAGTGGGTACGTCATTACAAACCAAGTGGCAAGCTCTTGAGCCGAGCCAAGTCAAGTTAGAATTCGAGCTTATGGCTTGATAAGCTTGGCTTGCAAACTCATTATCAAGTTGAATTCTAGTCAGCTTGATTCACTTACACTCCTAAATTTGACCAATAGTGAACCTTGCATTTACTCAATTGTACGACTTCAAAAAGTTCTTATAGAATGTCAAGAAGTCATAATATTTTATAAAGTTTTTAAATACTAAAATGTAATGTAGGGTGTGTGTGTGTGATATATATATACACCAACATTTGTTTTAGTGCATTGATAATGATATTAATACATGAAAAAACATGCTAATATGATAATAAGCATGTCAGTGGTGCTTGGACATCAAAATAATTTCAAATTTGCATCAAGGGTTTTGATAGACCTATAAAAAATCTAAATGACCTTGAAACCCCATTTTTTTCTAACAAAATCATCAAGATAATTTTTTAAGACCCATGCCCCATAGCCTTATATACATGTTATTAATTTGGGTTGATCGAGCAAATAAAAATTCAAATTTGATCTTATTGATTCTAAGTTGATCTAATAATGTCAATGAGCCGTTGCTTTGATATGCATTTTAAAATATGTTGTACATAAAAAAATTAAAGGACTACTCATGGGCTTTTCAAAAGCTAGGAATGTAAGCGTCAATCTACCTTGCAATTCACAAATTTCACAAATTTCAAATAGCTTAATTTTCTAACATCAACACAAGTCAAGATTCTAATTGACAAATATTAGGATCCATTGCCTAATGAATGAGGTTGTAAGACCCACTGCTAAACCAACTCCAATATTTTAGTTTTAGGTCCCATATAAATGCATTTTGAAAATAAGGACTGTAAGGCACGACCTTTTAAGGTCCCATTTTAACCTAATTAATTTTGCTAACACAACCAGTGAGCCCATCGAACTAAACCTAAATTTTACTGGTCATCTGTCAATATATGTGATGTAAGCAACTTAGAACAAAACTCAAAGAGAAAACCAAGTAAATCAAAACTCACTTTTATATAACTTTGAGAAACTTTTGGAGAACACAATAGACTAAATGAACCACTAAAATTCAGAATAGAAAAGTAGGGATCATCCAAAAAACCAAAGCAACAAGAAAAGTTAGCAAAAGAAACAAACATAAAACAAACAAATACTATCCTCATAACATCCTACTAGAGGACTCCTCACATGCACCGATTGTAGGAATATATTTTAAAATAAGGTTTAGATATGCAAACCAAGGGGCCAACACTGCAAAGGGGTCCAATGTCTTACCAAACTCCTCCAGCAAATGCCACCAAAAACAACTAACAATTCTTACCAACGGAACCAGAAGAAAGATACAGGTGGAGTGGAACTTGCGTAGAGAAGAAAGAGGTTAGAAGCCGAGACGAAAGGTTGGAAAGAGCTCGCAAGATTTCCAGAGGTGGAAGAAGGTGGACAAAGCTCTCAAGCTTTTCCAAGAAGAACCCGCAGGTTATAGCAACTTTGCTCTCAAATATTCACCCACCATTTCTTCTCAAAATATCACATATATATAGGCAATAGAGGGGAAACTTAACAGCCCAAAAGTTCCTCAAATCCCCATATAGAAATGAAAGGCCAAAAGCTTTCCTTGGTGAAATCCCAAGAGACACAGCAAAAATCCAAGCAGAATAAAGCCACAGAATCAGCCAGGAACAAAGCAAAAGCCACGGTTTCAGCACAGGAAACCAGGAGGCAAGTTACAGTTCCAACAGGGAATTCAAATCACGGTCAAAAAGGTGCCTTAGCAGTAAAGCAGCAGCCACCCGAAGAGGCAGCAACGTTCCCGAAGAGAGCAGCAGACCGTGGAGAGAAATCCAGAGAAGAAAAACTGCAGTAGCCCCAATTCAAGAAGAATATGAAAGAACAAGTTCCACTCACCAAATCTAGCTCCCAAACATTAATTTTATAACTAAACATCAGCTCATAATGAGCTACACCACCACTAGATATTAATGAGCTGGCACCACTAGAATTTCAAAAGCTCAAACCGAAAACAGTCATGGACCACATGAAACCAGCATACAGCCCAAAGGACAGGGTGGACCCCAAAGCCAGCAAACCCAAGGTAAGCATAACCCAAACCTTTTCCTACCATGATCATTGGATTTACCACCATCATTGGATTGCATAAAAATAAAACAAAAATAGAAAATATAACTAATATTGTTCATAAAAAAAAATGCAAAAATCTAAATGCATCAATATGTGTCAACTTCAATCTCAAAGTGCTTCTTCAACATATATTTATGTCCAAATTTTTTATGATACTTGAGACTAGGCAGTTTATGATTACTAATCAAGTTCCTTAGATGTTATAGTTTACAACCCTCTGACGTTGCCTTATTGGAACCACTAGTATACTATACTCAGAATCTTGGTGGTGGCTATCTCCATCTATCCTAGCAATCTCATTAATTTGATTAAATATTTAAAATTGCGTATTCGGGTATTAAGGCATTTTTCATTCGTGAGGCGAGGCGTAAGCCTCAAGACGTTTTGAGGCGTAGGCCTCAAAATCAAAAGATTGCGTAAACACAAAATGATAATTTTTTTATATACTAATGAGTGAATAATATAAAACATAAAAAAACATAAGATATTAAGTGAAATCAAAATATCCCAATAATAAGACAACACGAAATATAGTTCAACTCAAAATTCTATCTTTCTCAAATTTCAGTATTCTTTTCATTAACATATAATTCAAATTTAAAAAAAAAAAAATATAGCAATGACATATCACATAAGAACTCATAAGTCATCAGCACTGTCAGCACTAAGGGGTTCTTCATTTGAATCATCATTATGATGAACTGTCTCTCCCCTTTCTCCTCTCCTATAGAGTCCAATGTTGGGGATTTACTTCAAGATTTATGTAAGTTTTTATATATATAGCATGAGGCGTAAGCCTAATGCCAGTGAGGCGAGGCGGGCCTCAACCAAGTTGAGGCGCAAGCCTCATAAAAAAAAACTCAAGGCGTTTTTTACTGGAATTGCGCAAAGGCGGGCCTCAAGGCGAGCCTCATATTGCGCAATTTTAAACCATGATTTGATTCAAAACATAAACAATAACTTTGGGCCCAAAGTTGAGCCTAGATAATCTCCTTAATCGTTAGTATTCTCCCGCAAGTGTGAGAGATAATGAAGGAATATGTTTTT